AAATACGATTGTTCCCTAGGGATCAGAACCAGCCATTGTTACAATAAGACACAGTTTGTGCAACGGTCAGTGCCGTGTCCGGCACACGGAGGAGCCCAGTCAATGGGCCCTGTTATGGGAAGAGCTTGGGGGCTGTGATGGTAACATCCTGAATCATCAGGCCATGTGAAGGAGGTAGCGGAGCTCTACCCTGGCCCCCGCCTCTGCCAGCTTTCCGGTTGGGAGAAAAATGACAGCGGCTGTTTCCAAAGAAATGTTTATTGACACCGGGGCCCTCAGCAGGGCCAGAGAGACAGCGGGTGCTACAGGCTACTGAGGCCCAGGGCGAGGCCTGCCAGACAGAGCCCGTTGCTCAGGACGCAGCCCAGGTTGCACATGGAGGACAGGCCGTGGTAGCGGAAAAAGATCTGGCGGAGGACACCGTACTTGGGGTCCTGTCCCCGCAGCTGGCGGTAGGGGTCGGGGCCCTGGTGGCTGCCGGGCACTTCCCCGCCCAGGCCCCGCTCCTTCTCCACCGCGTGCAGGGCCCACATGGCGGCCGTGGTGCGGGGCTCTAGCCAGCGGGCGTTGATGGTGGACAGCGTGAGGCTCAGGAACAGCAGGAAGAGCTGGCGGGGTGGTGGAAGGGCAAGGTGAGTCGTGCGCAGGAGGCAGGAGGGGTCCCCCTGCGTCCTGAGAAGCCCAGAGGGGGGTGGAAGACAGCATTAGGTCAAAGCAAAGGCCTCGCTCTCCTTCCCCAAACCCAGTCTAGAGGCCCCAAACGGAGCTCTGGCTCTCAAGCCCTTGAGGCCAGCAGCTCCTAAGGAAAGGCTCTATCACTGTCTCCTCTGTTCCCTCCAACACCTTCTGAGCCTCTCCTCCTCCGATACCCAGACTGGAAGTTTCCACAACACAGCCTTGTCTCCTCCCTTCCTGTTCCCCCAAACTGGGGGCATCTCAGGGCAGAACCTCTCTTTCCCAAACAGAGACAGAACACCATAACCTTCCCCCCCCAAAGAGAGACGAAGACGGGGTCCATCTCCTCTGTGAACCCCGCCCAGACTCCAGAAGCCGAGACTGGGCCCACAGGGAGCGAAGAGAAAGTCCTGTAAATTCTAGTTACAGATAGTCCTACCCTGTCTCAGTGAGATTATTCTGGAAACCTTTGTCAGGCCTCACCTGCCTACAGCTGCGGAACATAATGGGGGGGGGCAGGGGGAGGGCAGGATAGAGAAATATGAGATGCAGAGATGGTTCCCTGCCTTGTGGCTGGGAAAAAGTGTGGATGGGAGTGGGGAACTGTAAATTCCCAGTCGGGCTGGTTTTTAAACAATGAGCTGGGGTCACTGCCCCAACCCAGCTGAGTCACCACAACTTGGCAACAGGCCTAGCCAGGGAAAAGAGAGGGAGCAGCAGCCAGCAGAGAGACGCTGGGGGATAGACAGGGCTACTAGCGATGGTTGTGCAGGCTGTGCACTGCTCAAGGGTATCCAGAGCCCAGCTTTGTACCCACCAGGAAGGTGCAGATGCTTGTTTTTTGTTTTTGTTTTTGTTTTTAGTTCTCACAAAGGTATAGCCATAGGTGCTCAGTGGGGTCTTGGGAACGAGTCTCCAGAGGGCAGTGGAGCCCAAGCCCGCATACCTGGCTGGCTTCCCAGAATGTGAGCTGAGCCCAGGCATGTTGTGGAGCCAAGATGCAGAGGTTGATGAAGGCACAGCCCATGGAGATGTGAAAGTAGAAAGGGAAGAGTTTGCTCTGCACGAGGCCGAAGGTATGTCGGGGAAGGCTTCGGAAAAGCAGGAAGCCTGTGGGGTACAAGGGACCACACGCCTGTTAGGACGGTTCCAGGTCCACCCCCCCCCCATTCCTGTCTCCACCCCGGGCACCCATGATGTCCAGGTGGAGGGTGCCTACCTGAGACGAAGGTCACCCACATTTGCATGCCCCAGGCCCCTGACAAGACCAGTAGATGGACCATCTTAATCAGGCTTCCTGGATTCCCACTTTCCTCCATCTTGCAGGCCTGGGAAAGAGGCACCGGGTGGCTCAGAATTTTACCTTTGCCCCATGGCCTTCAGCCTGTGAGCCTGCTCAAGGCCAGGGTCACCGCCAACCCAGCAGAGATCAAGGGATACCAGCCCGGGGAATGGGAGTGGGGAGGACCCAGAACAGTCCTGTGACAACCTCCAACCCCATCTCTCCAAATGTCAGCCTTCAAGATCTCAGGCTCTCTGGACCCCAGCATCCACGCCGCCTCCGAAAGCTGAAAATTTCAGTTAGGCCCAGGAGTACAAATTCACAGCCCTGGGTATTCAGAGGTCTTCCTAGTGATTCCCCCCAATCAGCTCAGGGACCTAATTCTGACAGTAAAGACCCCTGTTCTCATCTCAGGATCCCGGATATCACTACGAAGATCCCCATAGCACCCCCGGAGATCCCGTCGAATCCTGGGAAACCTCAAATCTCATCCCGAGGACACCGACCCTACCACTGCACCCAGACCTCAACCCGCAGCACCCAGGAGTCCGAGAACAGAGGCACCCAGGCCGTATCTCGTAGGGCAGGTGGCCTGGGCTTGCTACCTCACTCCCGCGCTCCTAGGTGGCCCGCAGACCTCGTCAGCCACCTCTCAAGAATTCATCCCGCCTCCCAGCGAAGTCCGAAGCCAATTGGATCTTAGATCTGCCGCCCCCCCACCCCGCACCACCCTCTTAGATATTGACTAATCGATTAGCGGAAACCAGCCTGGAATCCCGCCCCGTCGACTAGATTTTATCCAATTACACCGCGGCTCCTAAGATCGGCGGAAGCAGGAAGGCGCCAATGAGGCCTTTGGCTGCATCGGAGGGGGCGGAGCTAAAATGTCAGCCACACCCCTCTCTGTGACTCTACCTTTAGGCTTTGCGCGTTTTAATGCGATGGTGTCCCCACGGGATCAAATTTCAGCGTCACAGCTGGGGACTGGCTTTGCGGTCCCTGAGGGGAGAGCATGAGCAGGTGGTATGTGGTAGGTGGGGGTGGAAGGGGGTAGGGAGCCAGGAGGGCGCAGGATTCTCGGTCCGGAGGGCGGGGCTCAGGCTAATGACCCCGCCCCCTTCCCCCAAGAATTCTCCCGGGGACAGCGGGAGAAAGAGATGATGTGGGAGGGGTAGGAGGAAGGTTATGGGGAAGGGAGGGGGGGCTCGACTGGGGACCTGCCCGCAGTTGGGGCTCACAAATGCATCTTTCCTTTTCCCCTTCAAGCCTCCCAGGGCTCCTATGGTTTCCCAGGTTCTCAGCGTGACGTGGGAGGACAGTTGCCCACTACTGTATGTCAGGCACTGGCATAGATTAATTTACTTAATCACAATAACCCAGCAAGGTGGATAGTATGACATCCCATTTTTATAGCTGGGGACGCCGAGGCATGGAGAGAGGTTCAATAACTCTCCAACATCACACAGCCAGGAAGGGGCAGAGCTAGGATTCGAACCCAGGCCACCCAGCTGGAGAGTCTCCTCGCTTAATCATCATGCTCTACCGCCTCTGGAAGTGCGGGCCTCCCGAGACAGTGATTCTTGAAGGGGTAGCCTAGAACATTTCGGGCAGAAGAAAAGCTCCTATGTCGCAAAATGGGTATAAAGACCCAGTGAGTGCTTATGGTGGTGCCCAGCACTCAGTGCGGCGCTCAGAAAATATGAGTTTAAAAAAAAAAAAAAGACTAAGGAAGATTTTACAAAGCAAATGCTGAGTAGAGTTGTGAAGGGCATAGAGGAGTCTTTTAGGAGGACTGGGCCAGAGGAAGGGCACCAGCCAACCCAGCAAGGGCAGAAGGAAAAGCCCTGGAGTGTGGGCTTTTGGGCTGAATGTGACTCAGGACAGAATGCCTTTCACCTGGGAGTTTTTCCAGGCAGACCTGCCCCAGGTCTCCATCTGTACCAGACCTCACAACACTGGAATGTTGAACAGGGGGCATGAACAGGGGGCATGAACACCGAGAGCTGTGTTTTTGAACTTCCCTGCTTGGCTTTCAGTGCCTTGCTTGAGCTGCCCTGCTAACCTCCCGCTTCCTCTTGGACCCTACCTTAGCCATCCTGAATTTACCAGCACAGAGCACGCGGTTCCACACCTCCATGCTTTTGCAACACGCTCTTCCCTGCCGGGAATGCGCTTCCTTTAGTGCCCAATGCCAAGATCCTTTTTTGCTCTTAGGCTCTTCTGAGGCCTCACTTTCTCCTGTGGGGGGTCTTCTGGATCCTTCTCACTACCCAGCCAGTGCCTGGGGCTGGAATCATCTTTCATCCAGCTTCTGCTCCTGCCATTACTGGGAGGCCTTGGGTTCGGGGCTGAGGCCTCTCTGGGGTATTAGGGGAGGTCTGGGGGTGTCAGGACATGGGGGCTGGTCTCAGGGCAGCCCCCGTCCCCCCCTTGTTGAAGCGACCCTCTCCTGGCTGGCCTACCCCAGGACCCTGACTACTCTCTGCCCTGCTCCTCATCTCTCCTGCCCTCCAACGTGTGTGTGCCTGCTAACGGGAAGTGTGACAAGTACTGGGGTTTGTTGAGGCCCTTCCCTAGGGCTGGGGAGCTGGGAGGGGCTGGAGGGCTCTGGGTTGGCCCCAGAAAGCCCTCACCCCCTCATTCTCCCACCCCCACCCTCTGTTCAGACTCTTCCTCAGACAAGACCTTGGACTATACAATTCACTGGTCCAGGACCCCAGAGCCAGAGATCTTGGGGCCAGCTGCTTCTGAGAACACAGTGCGGAGTACAGACTGGAGGCCTGGGAGGGACTCAGGGCCTCAGTCGTGTGGGTCTCCTCTCATCCAGAGCCCAGACTCACAGGAGCAGTGTAATGACCAGGACCTGAAGAGGCATCAGAGCATCGCTAAGGTCACCCCCACCTGGGGAAACCCCTCCTGGCCACACCATAGTCTACTGCTCTGGGACTTAGGGAGGGAGCCATGGGGGAGGGGGACGGGTCCTCCTCTCAAGATGTGTGTCTTCAGCACCCAGAACAGCACCCGGTGCTCAGCCGGCCCACACTAAAATTGTCTTTTTTTTTTTTTT